ACCTGTAATCCCAGCACTTTGGAAGGCCGAGGCAGGTAGTTCACTTGAGATCAGGAGTTCGAGACCAGCATGACCAACATAGTGAAGCCCGTCTCTACTAAAAATACAAAATTAGTCAGGCGAGGTAGTACATGTGTGTAATTCCAGCTACTCGGGAGGCTATAGCAGGAGAATCGCTTGAACCCAGGAGGTGGAGGTTACAGTCAGCCGAGATTACGCCACTGCACCCCAGCCTGGGCAAAAAGAGTGAAACTCCATCTCAAAAAAATAATAAATAATACACTGAAAATGAAATAACATTGCTGAGAGAAACAAGGTGAAAATAATGGAGAGATACCAAATGTCTCAATGTATCTTAGTGAGTTAGATTGAAAAGTATAGAACCATGTTATTAGTTTGGTGTATTTATTAGACGGGAAGGAGAAATAAGCTACTGACACCTAAAATATAACCAAATTAATATCCCAGTTTTGCTCATAAAACTTTTTTCCTCAAAGATTAAAGATATTTAATAAATATTTAAAAGCCTATTATGCTACCCAGGCATGGTGGCTCACACCTGTAATCTTAGCACTTTGGGAGACCAAGGGAGGAAGATCACTTGAGGCTAGGAGATCAAGACCAGCCTGGGCAATAAAACGAGATCCCCGTTTCTACAAAATATTACTTAAAATTAGCTGGGTGTGCTAGCACATGCCTATAGTCCTAGCTATTCTAGTGGCTGAGGTGAGAGGATCACTTGAGCCAGGGAGTTCAAGCCTGGAGTGAGCTGTGATCACGCCTCCATACTCCAGCCGCGGGGGACTGTGTCTCCTTAAAGAAAGAGAGAGGTGGGACAGGGATGGGGAGAGAAAGAAAGAAGAAAGAAAGAAACTTCATTTAGGAATAGTAGCCTAAACCCATAACAAGTCAGTCAACATCCATATCCCATGAGAGAAGATAGCCAATATTGGGGGGAGAGATGATCCAGGATTTTAACAATTGTAAAGGTCATTAGAAAGCAGTAATATGATGACTATTTAAAAAATAACTAATGCTAAAATAAAATAGTAAGGATGAAAATAATGTCCAGGTCAGAGGAAGAGAGAATTTCACTGTACTCCACAACAATCACAGTCTATGTTCTTCAAAATGTATAATGCTGCAACTTTTGTATTAGTGAATACACAGTAATCACTGCAAGTAAAAGAGAGGTGATGTCAAAATTTTCTGAGGAAATATTTCTACAAACACCTAGAGTTCACTACCAAGCTTTCTTTCATCTAGTAGTTCCTGTTACCCATCATGTGTACTGAAGTTTGATACATGTTCAATTAGTTCAGGGGCCCAATTGTTTTAATTTGTAAGGAATTTCAAGGTACATAAAACATCTACAAGTTGTTTAAACCCAGCTTCACATAGAGGAATTAAACACATAAAAGAATGGAACAGGAAAGGAGAGATGTGAAACTATAAATTTGATAGAATCCAGGTTTGTTCCAAAATCAAATTCATTTGTCCTTTTGAATGCTTAATGCTTATTCATTCCACTCCCTACTTCCCTTCTTCTGGGGGATAACAACAACAGTAACAACTCTTCTTCCTCTTCCTTAATCTCTCTGTTAAAGATAACTTTACCCAGGATCAAAGCCTTAGAATTGTCTCTGCCCCCACCCTTCCTTCTATCTGCTCTTTTCCCAGCTATCACAAATTTGATTCCACCTTTAGAATATCTCATATTTTTCCCTTTCTTTTTGTTAGCTCTGCCACTCTTGGTGCAGCCCAATAATCGCTTGCCTGTGACAGCTTCCTAACAATATCCCCATTTTGAGTTTCTTTTTCTTCCCCTATTGACTGCAGAATTAAATCCAAATGTCCCAATAAGTCCTATTATGATTTAGCATCATTCCACCGTTAGCACTGTCTTTCACTACTTTTATGCATATTTTGTTTTATCCAAAGCAGAAATGCCCTTTCTAATGCCCTCTCCTCCAGAATACCTTTCTTCACTCATTTTTTTTCTCTAAATTTTACCCGTCTCTTTAAGGCCCCATTCAAAATCCATTCTTCGCCACAAACCCCTCAGCAAGAACACACATCTTCTTAGGTCTTACAGCACTTTACAGATTTTTGTTTTGCATCATAGTTTTTTTGCATCTCATTTTTTACAAAATTGTGAAGTCCTCAATATTAACAATTGTCTTATTCACTTATTCCCAATGTGTGGACAGCTGTGTACGTAAGGGAAAGGGTTGAGATAAACCAAAGTTTAATAATAGCTGGCTTTACTAAATAGCACATGTGGCAACATATTTTAATTTCCTTAAATTCCAGTATCCTAATCTTGATGAGAAATACTTGCAGAAGTAAAAAAAAACTGAAATAATAATGTATTGTTTGGTGTACAGTGGGCATTTGATAAAGTTCATCTCTTTTTTTCTTTTTTTTTTTGAGACAGAATTTCGCTCTCGTTACCCAGGCTGGAGTGCAATGGCGCGATCTCGGCTCACCGCAACCTCCGCCTCCTGGGTTCAAGCAATTCTCCTGCCTCAGCCTCCTGAGCAGCTGGGATTACAGGCACACGCCACCATGCCCAGCTAATTTTTTGTATTTTTAGTAGAGACGGGGTTTCACCATATTGACCAGGATGATCTCGATCTCTTGACCTCGTGATCCACCCGCCTCGGCCTCCCAAAGTGCTGGAATTACAGATGTGAGCCACCGCGCCCGGCTCATCTCTTTTTTTCTATCCTTTCCCGCAGTACTCACCACAGAGTACCTCGAAGACAAACTCAATAAGTAGTGATAAAATTTAATAAAGTCCAAAAGCAAGGATAACTTGAACTAAATAATGTTATAGGAGTTGAAAAATGAAAGAGTAGCCTTGAAATTATTATAAAGCTAGAACAGACATGACTCAGGAGAAAAATGGCTGAGATTTTGAGCTTGATAATATTTTGCTATTTAACAGAGGTGAAAAATAAGAGCTTAGTTGGCAAAGGAGTTAAAGGTAACCCCAAGTTTCTTATGTCAGCTTACAACATTGCCTTTTAGAAATGGGAAGCCTGGTTGATATTAAGGGTTAAACCAGGAAGGAAATCATTGTTCTATTTTAAGATGTCTTGAGCTTAAATAATTAATCGTCAGTAAACTTTCCATGTATATTGATTTGGATGTCACCGAAAAGTAGTATTTACCTGTTCTTATTAAAGATTTATTTTTGTAGAGATGGAGGTCTCACTGTGTTGCCCAGGCTGGTCTCAAACTCCTGGCCTCAAGCGATCGTCCCAATTCAGCCTCCCAAAGTGTTGGTACTACAGGCACGAAGCACCACACCAAACCAAGGTTTTTAATAAAAAAGTCACCATCACATCACCACGTCAGTTTTTGTTAATTAACTCTGAATCAAGAGAAGTTCTGAAAACCTTTGTATTAACCTTTCTACCTTGCTGACCTTAGAGTCAAATGTAATTAAGTCCTATATTTTAAAACAACTTAGAAATAATTGAGATATATATAATAGAGTTTTTTTTTTGTTTTTTTTTTTTTTTTTTTTGAGACAGTCTCACTCTGTTGCCCAGGCTGGAATGCAGTGTTCCATCTTGGCTCAGTGTAACTTCCACCTCCCATATTCAAAAGATTCTCGTACTTCAGCTTCCCGAGTAGCTGGGATTACAGGCATGTGCCAACACACTTGGCTAATTTTTTGTATTTTTAGTAGAGATGGGATTTCACCATGTTGGCCAGGCTGGTCTCAAATATCTGGGCTTAAGTGATCCGCCCACCTCTGCTTCCCAAAGTACTGGGATTACAGGCATGAGCCATCATGCCCAGCCTGAGATACATTTTTAATACTCTTTAAGTCCTTTCTAAAAGGTTTCTGATTTATAATTATCTTGAGCACATAGTATTTTTAAGCAAATCTTTTTAATGCATAGACTGGCATTAATATTAAGCTTAGTTTGAAGATACCCAGTGTAACTTAAATGTTTATGGAGTTTTTAAGTATAAAGTCATACATGTTTTTTGCAAAAATTATAGAGATGTACAAAGAGCAATATGTTAAATATTTGCCCCTACTCATTTTCTGACCCAATTTCCCATTTCTCAAACTCCATTAAGTTTAGCATATTCTATTCAGATATTTTTCCTATGGATACTGAGCTAACACACAAGATCAGACTGTCAAATCAGACTCATCAAGGATACAGGCAGTATCCTTGAAATAATTAGTAAACTTGATGAGTCTGATTTGACAGACAGGAGACTCAAATGAAGCAGAGTGTCTAATACGTGAAAGATGGCTCCTCAGACCATGTGATATGATTAGGCTTTGTGTCCCCACCCAAATCACATCATGAATTACAATCACTATAATCCCCACATATCAAGGACAGACCAGGTGAAGGTAATGGGTGGTTTTCCCCATGCTGTTCTCAGGATAGTGAGTTTTCATGAGATCTGATGGTTTTATAAGGGGCTCTTCCCGCTTTGCTTAGCACTTGTCCTTTCTACCACCTTGAAAAGAAGGTGCCTTGCTTCCCCTTCACCTTCCACCTGTAAGTTTCCTGAGGCCTCCCCAGCCATGTAAAACTGTGAGTCAATTTATTCCTTTATAAATTACCAAGTCTTAGGTATGTCTTCGTAACAGTTTGAGAACAGACTAATACTCCCACTTTGGACAAGTATCTTTGGCCCAGAATAAATAGATAAGGTTTCTAAGTAAGATTCACAAGATCGCCTCACACAGTGGGAATGTTTAAACTGTGGCTCATCTCTGTATTATACCCTAGAGAGTTGTGTAGCTTATGTGGCATTCTTCAGAGAGAGATGCCTCAGATTCTGGGTTCATTTACTATAGGTAATCTTTAGCCAGGGACATCTTGCTAAGGGCATTTTAGGGGTAAGATCTTGTCCTCCTAGCAGATATCATTAGGCTCTTTTTTTTTTCTTTAAAAGTGACAGCATATTTATATTTCTTGATAAATTTCTTTCTTTTTTTTTTTTAAATTGTGCTTTAGGTTCTGGGGTACATGTGCAGATCATTCAGGATTGTTGCATAGGTACGTATGTGGCAATGTGGTTTGCTGCCTCCATCCCCCCGTCACCTATATCTGGCATTTCTCCCCATGTTATCCCTCCCCAACCTCCCCATCCCCTGCTGTCCCTCCCCTATTCACCCCCAACAGACCCCAGTGTGTGATGCTCCCCTCCCTGTGTCCATGTGTTCTCATTGTTCAACACCAGCCATCATTAGGCTCTTGAAGTCTGGATGTCACCATCTTCTTTCTCCCTCTTCCCCAGGAAAGGAAGATTGGAGGCCAAATGCATTAACTCCTCCTACAGTAAATACATATGTGTGTGTGTGTGTGTGTGTGTGTGTGTGTGTGTATATATATATATATACATATAAAGTTGGGGCTTTATATGTTGGGTTGTTTATACTAAAATTGGATTTTATGATTGAACAATTGATTGATAGAGTTCTACATATTGTTTTTCCCCTTAATATATCATGGGCATTTCTCCATGACATTACATATGATTCTAACTCATCCATTTAAACTGCTGCATAGAAAGTACAATTTTGATGTTACACGATTGGCACCCAATGTATAAACTGGTAAACTTCTGTAAAATAAATTTTAGCTGTTAGGAACTTTAGATTGAAACATAGACCCCATGTAAATGTAATAATTTTGACATAGATTATTTATTAAGTGAGAAACACTTATAGCAAAAGTTGTAGAAGCTAATATATGAATATGACTGTAGCTTTGAAGGACTTTCTAAACCCTATTTAGTAAAATTTGTGTGGTTGTATTTGTACCAAACATGGAAGAAGGTTGCCTACCATAGGTAAAGATACTCGTGGGCCGGGCTCAGTGGCTCATGCCTGTAATCCCAGAACTTTGGGAGGCCAAGGCAGGTGGATCACCTGAGCTCAGGAATTTGAGACCAGCATGGGCAACATGGCAAAACCCTGTCTCTACAAAAAATACAAAAATTAGTGGGTCTCAGTGGCATGCACCTGTATTCCCAGCTTCTCAGGAAGCTGAGGCAGGAGAATCACTTGAGGCCGGGGGAGGGGATGTGGGTGGAGGTTGCAGTGAGCTGAGATGGCACTTCAGCCTGGTTAACAGAGCTAGACCCTGTTTAGATGATTTGTGGTTCCTCCATGTGATTCTTAGATGACACTGGTAATGTATCTAGAATCGTTGGCTAATTTAAAATAGACTGCATTTTTTGAAATTGTTAGCGTTAAACATAAAATGTCACGACTGGATTTCTTAGCTTTCAGTACTGGTGCCCCAGTAACTTTTTCTTCAGAATGGTATTTTGTAGACTAAATAAAAATATGTTAACATATTAAATATTAGAGTCTTACTAAATATTTTCAAATGAAAATTTTCATTCTAATGAACAAAAATTTATTACTCCTTGCAAGCACTCAGAAAATTAAGATTTGAAACGGTATATGAAATATAGTAGTTGAAGATTGAAAATATTACCTTAACTATTTAATATAATCTTCTGTCTTACCTCTCTTTTATTGATAGATACCACATTGAGTGAACAAAGACTGGACTTTTACAGATACCTTTTATAAAAGATGTCTGTGGAGTAGTGTTACAGTTCAGATAACAAAGGATTTTGCATTATGAGGTAGGTTGAAAATAGAAGGAATATGTCCAGATGTCACTTTTTAAATGTAGTGGGTAAACTTCATATATGTCATCTTATTTAATCACTACAAGAAAAGTATGCTGGGAACCAGCCCAACCCCGTACGTGGGTGCCCTTAGTCCCGGCAGTGACAAGGGATTGAGAAAAGGAAATAAAGACAGAAACACCAATTAAATTTACAGCATGCGTCCAGGGGACCATTGCAGGCATAGGAACTATGTTGGCCCCAGCTCTAGGCTCCAAACACTTTTATTATGTGCATAATCTCATTGATCTTATGGGCATGGAAGGGGAGGATAAAGAAGTAAGATAGCCTGCAAAGAGCACTTGAGACTCTTCTAAGACATACTAAACTAGTACTCTGAGTTTATCACCGATGTTATCAGGGTGCGGCTACATCAGAAGTATGTCAGATGAGGAGCCACAGGGTCTGACCACACCCAATGCATAGCATTGAGGACATAGAGCAATTAAAATCACTCCATATGAGGTGTTCCGTGATCTCTGCCCTGCATGGCTTTTCTCCTTGCCCGACCCTCCCAGATCTTGTGAGCAGAGGTTGCCTCCCTCCTCAGAGACCTTTGCATAGGCCCTCTTTATGAGGCCTTCATGCAGTCTCCATGTTAAGAAGGCATTAGTGAGACCAAAGCAGTATTACCTGCTCTGCAACCACCCAGAGGTGTTCCCAGGTGGTATTGCGCTCTCGGGTGGTCTTTACCTTAGGCCTCCTGTTGCTGCTTGATTTCTCTCTTTTTTTTTAAGACGGGGTTTCACCATGTTGGTCAGGCTGGTCTTGAACTCCCTACCTCGGGTGATCCTCCCGCCATGGCCTCCAAAGTGCTTGGATTACAGGCATGAGCCACTGTGTCTGGCCTGCCGCTTGATTTCTAATTAACTGCACCAATAATATAGTTTAGTTCAGTGTATAAACTTCAGTGTACTCTGAGCCAAACAAGCTTATAATTATTTAAGCTTGTTGGCCAGGCTGGGCTCGAACTCCTGACCTCAAGTGATCCACCTGCCTCAGCCTCCCAAAGTGCCAGGATTACAGGGTAGAATTTTCAGATTGGTCTATGTTGATGTAATTATAAACTTTGAATTATTTAATCTTTGTGACAAGATTGTGTTTGGTTTCAGATGAATGAGAGTGGAGAATTGAACAAAAATTGATTTTTAATTTCTGAATCATGGTTTTTTAGCTCACCAGTTACTGTATAGTCTCACTATTTGAAAGTTCATGCTGCAAAACTGGGTGAATATGATCAGATTTCTCCACCAAGTTCTCAGCCTGATAAGGGTAAGTTAGGTTCCATATACCTCTTTATTCATCTCTGTGCTATCTGTGGTCCTTTGGAACTGGCTTCATTCACATAGTATGATGTCTTCAAGCTTCATTCATGTTATACTATATGTCAGCACTTCATTCCTTTTTACTGCTGAATAATATTTTATTATATGAATATATCACATTTTGTTTTATCTATCAGTTGATGGGCATTGGGTTGGTTATTTCTATTTTTTAGCTGTAATGAGTAATGCTGCTGTGAACATTTGTGTGCAAATTCTTGCATGGACTTAGGTTTTCATTCTTTTGGCTATATATGGGTAGAATTGCTGGGTGGAATTGATGAAATTGCTGCTAAGCTATTTTCCAAAGTAGGTACACCATTTTACATTTCCACAAACAATGAATGAAGCTTCCAATTTTTCCACATTCTTGCTAACACTTAACTATTATCCTTTTTTGACTATAGCCCTCCTAGTAGATGTGAAGTGAAATCTTTTTACCAAAAGTTTCAAACATACTCAAAAATAGAGAAAATTGCATAATGACCCTTCATGTGTTCATCATCCAGTTTCAACAATTATCAACATCTTTTTAATCTTATAAGTGACTTCTTTTTGTTGTTGTTGTTGAGACGGAGTCTTCCTCTGTCACCCAGGCTGGAGTGCAATGGTTCGATCTTGGCTCACTGCAACCTCTGCCTCCCGGGTTCAGGCGATTCTCCTGCCTCAGCCTCCCAAGTAGCTGGGACTACAGGTGTTTGCCACCATGCCCAGCTAATTTTTTGTATTTTTAGTGGAGATGGGGTTTCACCGTGTTGACCAGGCTGGTCTTAAACTCCTGACCTCATAGCCATGAAATGATCACGACAATTAAGAGAATGAACATATCCATTACCACCCCCCTAAGAAAATGCCCCTTTAGAATGCTTTCTTCCCACCTCTCCCCAGGCAACTACTGTTATTATACTTTCCATTTTCTAGATTTTTATGTAAATGGAATCATATCGTATGTACTATTTTGTCAAGCTTCCGTTACTTTTTAATTATTGATTTATTTATTTTTAGAAATGGGTTCTCGCTGTGTTAGCCAGATTGATCTTGAACTGGGCTCAAGCAGTTCTGCCACTTCAGCCTCCCAAAGTGCTGGGATTACAGACATGAGCCACTATGCCCAGTGTATCACTATTTTGAATAGTAAAAAAGAATTATAATTATTTTCATTATTTTGAGATTCACTCATGTCATGTGTATCGATTTGGTTTATTCCTTTTTATCACTGATAGTATTTCATTGTATCGTTATTCCACTGTTTGATTTAATCCATTCACCTGTTGATTGACATTTGAGTTTCTTTTCTTTCTGAGGCTATCACAAATAAAGCTACTATGAACATTCATGTGCAAGTCTTTGTATAGACACACAGTCGTGTCACTTAATGACTAGTTTACATTCTGAGAAATGTGTCATTAAGTGATTTTGTTATTGTGCAAACATCATAGAGTGTACTTACACAAACCAGATGGTATAACTTACTACACAAGTTGATACAGATGGTATAAGCCTATTGCTCCTAGGCTACAATCTGTACAGCATGTTACTATACTGAATACTCTAGGCAGTTATAACAAATAGTAACTGTTTGTGTATCTAAACAGGAAAGAAACAGTAAAAATATAGTATGATAGAAAAAATAGTACACCTGTATGGAGCATTTACCATTAATGGAAGAGCTTGCTGGACTGCAAGTTGCTCTGAGTCAGTGAGTGGTGAGTTAATGAGAAGGCCTAAGATACTACTGTATGCTGCTGTAGACTATAAGTACTGTACACTTATCCTACACTAAATTTATTTATTTATATTGAGACAGAGTATCTCTGTGTTGCCCAGGCTACAGTGCAGTGGTGCAGTCTCAGCTCACTGCAACTTCTGCTCCCAGGTTCAAGCAATTCTTCTGCCTCAGCTTCCCAAGCAGCTGGGATTACAGGCACCCACCACCATACCCAGCTAATTTTTATATTATTACTAGAGACGGGGTTTCACCATGTTGGCCAGGCTGGTCTTCAACTCCTTACCTCAGGTGATTCGCCTACTTCAGCCTCCCAAAGTATTGGGATTACAGGCATGAGCCACCATACCCGGCCCACTAAATTTATTTTTAAAATATTTTTATTGTTTTAGTAATAAATTAACCCAGCTTACTATGGTTTTTTTACTTTATAAACTTTAAAACTTTTTTTAACTTTATGACTCTTTTGTAATAACAGTTAGGTTAAAACATGTTGTCTAGCTGCACAAAAATTCTTTAATTTCTAGACCGGGCGAGGTGGCTCACACTTGTGATCCCAGCACTTTGGGAGGCCGAGGCGGGTGGATCACGAGGTCAAGAGATCGAGACCATCATGGCCAACATGGTGAAACCCCGTCCCTACTAAAAACACAAAAAATTAGCCAGGCGTGGTGGTGCCTGCCTGTAGTCCCAGCTACTCGGGAGGCTGAAGCAGGAGAATTGCTTGAAACCGGAAAACGGAAGTTGCAGTGAGCCAGGATCCCACTGCACTCCAGCCTGGCAATAGAGGGAGACTGTCTCAAAAAAAGAAAAATACCTTAATTTCTTTATATCTTTATCCTTTTTCCTATTTTATTCTTAGTTTTTTTCTATTTTTTATTTTTTATTTATTTTTTTTTTTTGTTTTTATTTTTTTGAGATGGAGTCTCACTCTGTTGCCCAGGCTGGGGTGCAGTGGCACAATCTTGGCTCACTGCAACCTCTACCTCCCAGGTTCAGGAGATTCTCCTGTCTCAGCCTCCCAAGCAGCTGAGATTACAGGCATGTGCCACCATGCCCGGCTAATTTTTGTGTTTTTAGTAGAGACACAGTTTCACTATGTTGGCCAGGCTGGTCTCAAACTCCTGATCTCAAGTAATCCGCCTGCCTCAGCCTCCCAAAGTGCTAGGATTACAGGCAAGAGCCACCCCACCTGGCCCTATTTTTTTTTTTAACTTATTCAATTTTTGTATGAAAAGCTAAGACACAAACACACACATTAGCCTAAGCCTACACAGGGGTCAGGATCATCATTGTCTTCCACCTCCACATCTTGTCCCACTGGAAGGTCTTCAGGGACAGTAACATGCATGGAGCTATCATCTCCTATGGTGGCATCTTCTGGAATACCTCCTGACCTACCTGAGGCTGTTTTACAGTTAACTTTGTTTTTTTTTTAATAAGGAGAAAGTATAAAATAAAATGAAAAATATAGTAAATAAACCATAAACTAGTAATACAGTTTTTTTTTTTTTTTTTTTTTTTTTTGAGATGGAGTTTCATTCATGTTACCCAAGCTGGAGTGCAATGGCGCGATCTCGGCTCATCGCAGCCTCCGCCTCCTGGGTTCAGGCAATTCTCCTGCCTCAGCCTCCTGAGTAGCTGGGATTACAGGCACGCACCACCATGCCCAGCTAATTTTTTGTATTTTTAATAGAGACGGAGTTTCACCATGTTGACCAGGATGGTGTCGATCTCTTGACCTCGTGATCCACCCGCCTCGGCCTCCCAAAGTGCTGGGATTACAGGCTTGAGCCACCGCGCCCGGCCAGTGATACAGTTATTATCAAATCTTATGTACCGTACATAGTATATGCTATACTTTTATATGGCAGTATAGTATATTTGTTTATGCCGGCATGACTACAAACACATGAATAATGCATTGTGCTATGACATACTAAGAATTTTTCAGCTCCACTATAATTTTATAGGACCACCATCATATATTCAGTCCATTGTTGACCAAGACATTGTTATGCAGTACATGACTGTATCTCCTTTTCCTTTAAGTAAATACCTAGAAGTAGAATAACTGCACCGTATGGTAAATACATGTTTAACTTCTTTTTTTTTTTTAACCCCACCCCTCATGTTTAACTTCTTAAGAAACTGCCAAACTGTTTTTCAAGTGGTTGTACCATTTTATATTCCTATCAGCAATGTATGAAAGTTCCAGCTGTTCCACATCCTTTATCAGCACTGGTATTGTCAGTCTTTCATTTAGTCATTCTAGTAAGTGCATAGTGGTATCTCATTGTGGTTTTAATTCACATTTACTTGCTGATTAATGATTTTAAACATTTTTCCATGTGCTTATTGGTCATTTGCATATATTCTTTTCTGAAGTATAGGTTAAAATTGTTTGCCCATATTTAAGCAAGTATTTGTTACATTGGTCAGGATTTTTATACTATTTACATTGAACAGAACTATATTTTCTAACTTGTCAAGTTAGGCTTCATTTACATTTTCTTTTTAACCTCAAATTTCCAAATTTAAAAAACTGGCTGATCATTAGTCAGACTCTAGAGGACTATACCAGGCTTGTTTCTGTTAAAGGGAAGAAATGTTCAGTTCTACATGGGATATACTCCCTCCTAATTTTTTGAGATAAAATATATCACCAAAAATATATTGGCAGTCTGGGCACAGTGGCTCACACCTGTAATCCCAACACTTTGGGAGGCTGAGGCAGGCAGATCACCTGAGGTCAGGAGTTGGAGGTCAGCCTAGCCAACATGGTAAAACCCTGCCTTTACTAAAAATACAAGTTAGCCAGGCGTAGTGGTGTACACCTGTAGTCCCAGCTATTTGGGAGGCTGAGGCAGGAGAATCACTTGAACCCTGGAGGTGGAGGTCGCAGTAAAATGAGATCGTGCCATTGAACTCCAGCCTGAGTGATAGAGCAAAATATTTTTTTTCCATCTCAAAAAAAAAAAATATATATATATATATATATATATGTGTGTGTGTGTGTGTGTGTATATGTATGTATGTAAAATATATATGTATGTATATGTGTGTATATATATATATATACACACACATGTATATGTCATTGTAATCTCATAGTAAGTACATTTTCTGCTATATTTGTATTTATTCAGGATTTGAGGTGAGGAAAAGAATCAGGAACAGTCCTGCTGTCCACCCCTCCCAAAAAAAATCAAACAAGCAAACAAAAACGATATATCTACTGTAAATTTCTTCTGAAATTTTTCTCAACATCAGTCCTATCCCCTTTCAATTTTTACCCATTTCTTCCCTTATTCCTCAGTACTTTAAGAGAGAACAAACCAGAAAGCATTCTAGAATGCTTTTTCACCAATCAGAAGTAGTGGAATGAAATCCAAGCCCTACACAGAAGATATAGAACTCGGCTTCTTCATCTTTCCTCATACCTGATACCTAAAAGTAGTTTTTATCTTATAACTGAATTTCTCATTTCCCAAACCGTTCTATAAACATCCTTTTATTGTTAAGTCTTACAGTACCCTCATCAGGTGAGTACGTGTATTTTACCTTGAGTAAACTGAAGATTTTCAAAATCAAATTCTATATCTGTGGTTTTTACTTCTCTTAGAAACTAATGTACAGGAAACCAATTCATGAGAACTTGAGAAATTATTTTTACATTCATATCAAGCCACCCACCATGGATATGTGGTTCCCATCCATACATCCCTGCTTGTCTCACATTTTAGCCCTATGACAACAGCAACATGTGTATCAGTTCCTTTCTGCCCTGTTCCTCCCACTTCTAAGAAGGGTAAAGTTACTGGTATATGACCTGGGAGGTATCTGACCATCTTGATGCTACCTTTTGGCATATAATGTCAAGATGTTCAACTTTTATGCCGAACTAGGTTGTAATTTGTTTGAGCTGCTTTGTTTTTCAAAGCTTTTCAAGAGCAAAGGAGGTCTGGTGCAGTGGCTCATGTCTATAATCCCAGCACTTTGGGAGGTTGAGGCAGGTGGATCACTTGAGATCAGGAGTTTGCGAGCAGCTTGGCCAACATAGTGAAACCCTGTCTCTACTAAAAATAAAAAAACTCAATGTGGTGGCACGCACCTGTGATCCCAGCTACTTGGGAGCCTAAGGCAGGAGAATGCTTAAACCTAGGAGGTGGAGGTTGCAGTGACCCAAGTGTGCTCCCACTGCACTCCAGCCTGGGCAAAAGAGCAAGACTCGATCTCAGACAAAAAAGTTAGAAAAAAAGAGCAAAGTAAATACTCAGGACAAGATAATCTGGTAAGAATTTTTTCCTTTCTTTGCAGAACATCCTATTTTGTCAACCTAATGAAGCATTCAAAGAAGACATATGACTCTTTTCAAGATGAACTTGAAGATTATATTAAAGTACAGAAAGCCAGAGGCTTAGAGCCAAAAACTTATTTCAGAAAGATGAGAGAAGACTATTTGGAAACCTGTAGGTACAAAGGAGAGGTTGATTCCAGATGCACATATAGAATGTTTAATCAAAGACTCCCGTCTGAAACCGTCCAGACCTACCCAAGATCATGCAATATTTCACAAACAGTGGAAAATCAGTTGCCTCAGTGGTTACCAGCCCATGACACCAGATTGAGAGAAGACTCTCTGAGCTACTGTCAGTTCACTAGGAACTGTTTCTCAGAAAAACCAGTACCCTTAAATTTTAATCAGCAAGAATATATTTGTGGCTCACATGGTGTAGAATCTAGAGTTTATAGGCACTACTCCTCAGATAACAGTACCAGTACCCATCAAGCCAGTCACAAACAGATACATCAGAAGAGGAAAAGGCACCCAGAGGAAGGCAGAGAAAAATCAGAGGAGCGGGCCAAGCATAAGAGAAAAAAAAGTTGTGAGGAAATTGATTTAGACAAACACAAGAGCATCCAAAGAAAGAAAACAGAGGTGGAAACAGAAACCGTACATGTCAGTACAGAAAAGCTTAAGAATCGGAAGGAGAAAAAAAGCCAAGATGTAGTCTCTAAGAAAGAGGAACATAAGCATACAAAAAAGAAAAAGGCACAAGGCCAAGAAAGGACAGAAGAGGAAATGCTTTGGGACCAGTCTATTCTTGGATTTTGAAGCTTTCAAAGTTGGTTCTCCCAAAGTTAAATTGAAAAAATAGTTGAGAGCGTGGTTTTATGATGGCCATGTTCATATCACTTGTCTTATATGAATAGGATCTTTAATTTCTAACAAAGGCCAAGTGAACAGAAAGTGTTTAGCATGCTTGCTCTCCAACACAGAAATTACTTTTCCTCATTTTCTAAAAGCGTTATTACGTTTTTCTCACATATAATTTCTTTTAATGAAAGTGGCTCTGCTTTTATTAATCAGATTGCTTTGATGGTGGAATTATTTTCTCTTGGGAAGTTATTTATTATAAGAGGATTAATGGACTTTGCTGAATCTATTTCTAGATTGAGTTTGTTATAGTTTTGAGTTGGGTATTTTATGTTTATTGGTTTTTCTCTATGGTGGCAATTTTTTTCTCCTTTCTTAGATCTAACTTGCAGTGTATTTTCTAAGCTGGAAAGTGGAAAATGAAATACATTATTATAATAAGCTTGGGTAACATAGAGTTTCTAAAGTTTCAAAGAATATTGATACAAAATCAGTTTATATTCTGGAAATATTTATAATAAAGTATTATAATTTCTACATATTGTTCTGTGTCAATCTTTTCCTATTTAACAATGATTTTTCTCTTGGGAGGAGAAGAGAATAACTTGGCAGTTCATACTTAAGAGGCGAGATCTAAGTTGTTAAAATTCCTTATCTGTTATACCTTGCTTATTCATATTTGAACCTGGTTTTTAAGGTAGAAATCTATGACTGACTGCTACAGGACCCCACCACTTACCCCAAGTTAGCCTTTGGATTGGGGATTTCCTCACTATATTCCCTTCAGTGGTCGTCAGAATGATGTTACAGGAAAGGTGTCCGAATCCAGACCCCAAGAGAGGGGTCTTGGATCTCACACAAGAAAGAATTCAAGGCAAGTCGACAGAATAAAGTGAAAGCAAGTTTATTAAGAAAGTAAACGAATGAAAGAATGGCCACTCCATAGAGCAGCCCTGAGGGCTGCTGATTCTCCATTATTATGACTATTTTTTGATGATATGCTAAACAAAGGGCGGCTTATTCATGCATCCCCCATTTAGGCCACATAGGGTAACTTCCTGAGGTTGTCATGGCATTTGTAAACTGTCAGGAAGCTGGTGGGAGTGTAACAGTGAGGACGACAAGTGGTCACTCACCTGGCCATCTTGGTTTTGGTGGGTTTTGGCCGGCTTCTTTACTGCAGCCTGTTTTATCAGGAAGGTTTTTATGATCTGTATTTTGTGCTGACCTCCTATCTCATCCTGTGGCCTATGGTGCCTTAATCATCTGGGAATGCAGCCCAGTAGGTTTCAGCCTTTTACCCAGTTCCTATTCAAGATGGAGTTGCTCTGGTTCACATGCTTCTGGCATGCCACAATATTCTCAGAAGAGAGAGGAGTTTATAAGATATAAAATGTCATTAAATTATTCTGTCCTAGTCAGTGTTTTCATTCTAATAATGCCCTTTTTTATGATATGCATCTCAGGTATTTAAGCATCACTATTTTGTGGTCGAAAGACTGATGGCCTGGAAATCTGAATCCCAGAAGTTTAGTCTCAGCTATTCCATGAAGTTATGTGACTTTGGGGAAGTCAGTTACTTCATCGTCCTCATTATCAAATATGACTAGAAAGACTGACCTCTAAAAATGCCTTGGATGACAAGAAAACTCTGTGAAATGAAAATTCTCAACACCCACTTAAAAAAAGAAAACAGAAAAAATTATCTTTGTATTCTACAATGTTGTGTTTACATGTCTATTATAATATTAACATTAAAATTGTTTTGCTAAAATTATTTTTACCATGTTAGGGAGGTGGAAATTCACAAACAAAAGTTATCTGCCCTTCCCATTTTTATTCTAAATTATAATTTTTAGCCTGAAAAGATAAATACTGGATAAAATCATTATTATTTAAGCCTTTAGTATCATATATACTCTGACTCTTCTCATCTGTGATTTTTTTTTTTTTAACAGTCTGTGATTTTTAAATGTGTGTGTCACCTTTACTGGGCTAAGGGATGTCTTGAGTAGCTGGTAAAACATTGTTTCTGGGTGTGTCTGTGAAAGTGTTTCCAGAAGAGATGATTAACATCTGAATTGGTGAATTAGTAAAGCAGATGGCCTTGCCAATGTGAGCATCATCCAATTTGTTGAGGCCCCAAACAACGAAAAGGAGGAAGACGGGCAAATTTGCCTACTCTTTTTTTTTCTGAGACATCCATCTTCTCCTTTCTCCTTTCCTTGGACATTGGTGCTCCTGGTTCTCAGGCCTTCACACTCAGAGTATACACCATCAGCGCCACCCTAACCCCCAAGTTTCACACTCTGACTGAATTACACCCCGGGCTTTCCTAGTTCTCCAGTTTATAGATGGCAGATTGTGGGTCGTTTCGGGTTTCCATAATCATTTCACGTGAGCCGGTTGCCAAGCACACAGGACGGGAGCAGTTGCTCACGCCTGTAATCCCAGCACTTTGGGAGGCCAAGCTAGTGGATCACGAGGTCAGGAGTTCAAGACCAGCCAAGATGGTGAAACTGGCCAAGATAGCTAGCCAAGACTAGCCTAGATGGTGAAACCCTGTCTCTACTAAAAACTACAAAAAAATTAGCCAGGCACAGTGGCATGCACCTGTAATCCCAGCTACTCTGGAGGCTGAGGCAGGAGAATCTCTTGAACCTGGGAGGGGGAGGTTGCAGTAAGCCGAGATCGTGCCACTGCACTCCAGCGTGGGCAACAAAGCGAGACTCCATCTCAAAAAAACAAAAACAAAATAGATGCCATGGTTCAGTAGTTAGCAGCCCACCACTTAACTACACTGAGTAGAGCATGTAGATCCTTTTTCAAATTTTTAAATTAAAACAGTAAAAATTGAGCAAGGGCACACTATAAGTATGTGATTATGACAGTCTTGAGGAAGTAACTATGACTTAATAGTTTTTAAAAATTTAGGACCGCCTGGTACGATGGTTCACATCTGTGATAAAAGAAAAACTTCAGCCAAATTAAATTTAAAGGAGTTTAATTGAGCAATAAACAGTTCGAGAATCGGGCAGCCTTCCCAGCCAGAGTAGGCTTGGACACTCTAGTGCAATCATATGGTGGAAGGTTTATAGAAAATGGAAGTGAGTTACAGAAACAGCTGGATTGCTGCAGCTTGGCATTTGCCTTATCTGAACATGGTTTGAACAGCTGGCTACATTTGGCCAAAACTCAGTGATTGGCACAAGTGTAGTCGGTTTACACCTCCACTTGTCACGATATACAGAGAAACCTTTAGGTCAAGCTTAAATATGTAAGGAGGCAGCTTTAGGCTAAACTTGACTTAACAACTGTAATCCCAACACTGGGAGGCCAGGCGGGAGGATCACTTGAGCCTAGGAGTTAGAGACCAGCCCAGGCAACATAGCGAGACCTTGTCTCTGCAAAAATAAATTAGCCAGGCATGGTGGCATGTACCTGTAGTCCCAGCTACTCAGGAGACTGAAGCTAGAGGATCATTTTGAGCCCAGGAGTTCAAGGTTGTGGTGAGCTACAATAGCGCCACTGCACTCCAACCTGGGGAACAGAGCAAGACCTTGTCTCAAAAAAAAAAAGATATAAGCAATATGTGGAAAGAAGGTCATACCTGTCAAAATAATCAGCTGAAAGCAGTTGTTTCTGAGGTACAGGAAAGGGGGGAAAGTGGAGATAAGGGAACTACTTTTCTTAAAAAGAAAAAAGACATAAAACTTAACACTTCAGGCCAGGCGCAATGGCTCATGCCTATAATTCTAGCACGTTGGGATGCTGAGGCGGGTGGATCACCTAAATCAGGAGTTCAAGACCAGCCTGAGCAACATGGTAAAACCCCGTCTCTACTAAAAATACAAAAATTAGGCCGGGCGTGGTGGCTCACACCTGTAATCCAAGCACTTTGGAGGCCAAGGTGGGTGGATCACCTGAGGTCGGGAGTTCAAGATCAGCCTGACCAACACAGTGAAACCCCATCTTAAAAAAAAAAAAATATATATATATATATATATATATGTGTGTGTGTGTGTGTGTGTGTGTGTATACACAAAAATTAGCTGGGCATGGTGGCAGTTGCCTATAATCCCAGCTACTTGGGAGGCTGAGGCAGGAGAATTGCTTGAAACTGGGAGGCAGAGGTTGCAACGAGCCAAGATTGCATCATTACACTCCAGCCTGAGCGACAGACTTCATTACCTCTGAATGGAGTGGCATTAAAAAATGTTTTAACAAATAAATAAAAATGATTCAACACTTCAAACTATGGGCATATGAAACCTTGATAAAAATAAAAACAAATTTAAAAATCTATTACTAGGTCAGCATGTTGAGAGTCTTTAAAGGAGTTTTTATTTAAGTATTTTTAAAATCTCAAATTTATAGAAGTCTTGGAATTAAAGTACAAAGAACTTTTGTTTTGCTGAACAATTTGAAAGTTCCTGACCTGACTCCTTATAACCCCTAAATACTACATGTCTTCTATAAACAAGGACTATCTCCTACAAAATTTTAATATAACTAGCAAAATCAGGACATCAACATTAATACATGTCTACCATCCATCCAACAGACCTATTCAAGTTTTGCCAAGTCAGGATCCAGTTCAGAATCACCACTGCATTTATTTCTCATGTCTCCTTCATCTTAAGTCTCGAACAAATTCTTCAGTCTTTTCCTGACTTTCATGACCTTTATATTTCTATTATAGGCCAATTATTTTGTAGAATTTTTCTTAATTTGAATTTGTTGCTTTAGGATGAGATTCCAATTATGTATTATTGGCAGAAACATCACAGAAGTGATGCTGTGTTCTTCTTGCTGGACTATCAGGAGACACACGATTGCAATTTGTCCTATTACTGATGATATTCATTTTTGTTACTTGATTAAAGTGGTACCTGCCAGATTTTTCCACTGTGAAGTGACTTCCTTTTATAACTAATAAATATTTTGTGAAGAGCTGCTTCGAAATTACATAAACATCTGTTGATTAGAAAACACAACAAAATTATTCTATGAATTAATACTTCTAAATTAATTTGCATTTTATCAATGACAATCAGATCCATATACATTTGCAAAACAGTTGCAAGTGTGTGTACGCAACAGCTTGTTGACTTAGGCAATGTGTGGAATGTTCTGGATTCCTAGACCCCAGACAGTAGCTCCAAGACAGTTTTGAACCTTCAGGTGAGACAAACTTGGTTTTGATTTGTACACTTACAAGTTATGGATGGTAGATTCTTTGTTGGAGAAAATGGCAGCAATTCTCACTCCCTGTATCCACCCTTTGGTTGTCCCCTTCCTACTGGCTGGCCATGCCCTTGTGACCTGCTTTGGCCAATGGGAGAATAGCAAATATGACATAAGTGAGACATGGAAGATTCTTATTTTATTTATTTATTTATTTATTTATTTTTGGAGATGGGGAATTCACCATGTTGGTCAGGCTGGTCTTGAATTCCTGACCTCAAGTGATCCACCCTCCTCAGCCTCTCAAAGTGCTGGGATTACAGGCATGAGCCACCACGCCCTGCCCCGGA